TCTGTCTGTCTGTCTCTCTGTCTTCCATTTTTAAAAAAATCATAAATACATAAAATTGAATAAAAATGTATTATTATGAAATAGTAGTCCATAAAGTGGCATGCATGGACTGCCTAGACACGAACATTGAGAGATCCGGCAGTTTGTTCTTTCTTTCTATTATTATATATATTTTATTATTTTTCTTCTTTGTCTTTGATTTATGTTGTCAGATTTCTATGTCCGTGGTTTTTGCTTCCCTGTTGAAGCAGACAGAGCACTTCTGACATTTGACTGTGTTTTGTCGTTTTGTCGAGATGGTGTGGAATTTGACTTGCTTCAGAGAAGCTCCCAGGTATAGCCCCCCGATTCGTTAAACCTGTAAACTTTATGTTTTCGGACTGAATGGCGCCAATATCTCTGCGGTTATTTTCTTTTCATGTTCCGAAAATTGATCCCATTAAAAAAAATTTTTCACACCTCAATGGAAGTTGAGTTGGTTATTTTAAGTTGATTTCGCTTTTGGGGGTAATTTGTAGGTGGTTTGCTGGCGCCTTGGTGTAGTTTGCCCCTTCTTCCCTATTAAATATATCGTCTTTATCCCCTCTTCTTCTCCTTCTTCTTTTCTGTGTACGTATTTTCTCTTTAGTAAAACCTCTACTCTTTAGCACTTGTATGACCTATTTGTAGAGAAAGTGCCGTAAAACTCCAACTTTAAAAAAAATCAAAACTAAGCCAATCATCCTAGTGGTTATTTTCTTTTCATGTTCTGAAATTTGATCACTTTTTAAAGCTTTTCACGAGTCAATGGGAAGCGGATGGTTAGCAGGTGCTCCTGTGTGGTTTTCGCCTTCTTTCTCACCAAACAAATATCGCCCTTATCTTTATTCTATCCTCCTTTTTTATGTTTGTTACTCTCTTGTAACATCTCTAATCTGGGGCACTTGTACAGCAAATGTAAAACTCGCACTAAGGCTAAAACGACTCAACGGGAAGTGATGAGTTTGTTATTTCTGGAGTTTGATTTCGAATTTCTAGATAGCTTGTTCTTTACTTTTCTTTTCTATCCCGTTATAACTACACCATAATGATGATTTACCGTCTAAGACCGTAATTATGTGCCAGGACTGGAT